CATTGGGGAGGCCAGTTCCTTTAGTTTTAGAAAATTAGTGGGAAGTTAAAGCAGTTCCCAGATTTTCAGATAACTTCAGAGACGTTAAAAAGTTAATTGAGGTCTTCGCTTACGTTCAGAAGCTCACTGAACCTTAATCATTTTTAGGGCGGTTCAATTAAATTCAGCGCAATACAACAAGATTCATGAGAACTGCTAAAACTTTAGATAAGTTTTGATAAATTCAGAAAAGAACAAAAAACCTCAGAGCAGTTCCGTTAACAGTAGAGAAGTCACATAAATCTTAAAGAAGTTTAGAGAACTTCAGCGAATTGTTAAACGTTTAGAGGAGATCCATGATCATTGAAAAAATTTAGGAAACATTAGGAAGTCCTAAAAAGTTCAGGGAAGCTTAAGAATTTGATGAGAAGTATTGTGAGTCTCAGGCTAGTTTCTCAAACTACAGATTTCTTTCAGATTTCCTTTTCAATCTCACTCCTTCCCTTGGAATTCTACTCACATTGAAAGTCACCTAAGAATTAATTGGCATTTCTCCTCACAAATTACTTCGATTTCTTCTCATAATTTGGTTGGCAAACTCTCCTGAATTCTTTTTCCAAATTCCTGTGAAGATGTCCTGGAGTAATTCTCAGATTTAATTGTAATCCTCCTTTAGTATTTAAAAAAAAAATCCAAGGACTTATGCTCCGGATTCATTTTCTCCCACAAACTTTATGAAATTATGCTCAGAATGCCCTTGGAATTTCCCTCTGAAGCTCCTCAGAAATTACTAAGAGTTTTCATTAAAATTTACTTTAAGGTCACTTTTTAGTCACTATTTTTCGCCGAGAAAGCCGTCCAAATCTTGGAACCGGTCTCCTGCCCTCCACCCCGGCCGACGCCGCGTGCGTGGAAGCCGGTATTCTGCCTTTTCGGCTCGTCTACACCGCAGCTACCGCTACCAAAGCCGCTGCCTTCCTCGCTAAAACGTCGGGAAACAGCAGGATCTTTCTCCTCGACGAGGCGAACCGACTCCTCCGCACGGTCGCCGACGTAGATCTCCCTCCAGTGGCCAGGGTGCACTGGCACGGAGACAAAAGTTGGCAATCACATCAGATCAGAATCGACAGCCGAATCAAGGACCGCTTCAGGGCAGGAGACAATACACTGGCTTTGCGCCGGACAGTCGTCGAAACTCTCGGGGCGCACTATCAAGATCACGAAATCAGGTACACTGATGGCTCGCTCTCCAGCAGCGGAGTGGGAATGGGGGTTTCAGGAGATAGTTTGGTCGTCAGCAATTCACTTCCGGCCCAGTGCTCGGTGTTTTCCGCTGAGGCAGCGGCCGTCTTTCACGCAACCTCCCTTCCGGCCAATCGGCCGATCCTCATCGTTACCGACTCACAAAGCGCAATAATGGCCCTAACCGATGAAGCACCAAAGCATCCGTGGATACAAGGGACGGTAACGCAGGCGCCGCCCAACACCGTATACATGTGGGTACCCGGGCACTGTGGCATCCAGGGGAACGTGATCGCCGACCACCTCGCCGGCTCAGGCCCCATCGGACCCAGGTTCTCTGACAATGTTCCGTTCCAGGACATCAAAAAATGGATCAAGCGGACGGTTCGGAGAGCGTGGGACAACGAGTGGAGGAACAATCGAACTCACCAACTACGAAAAATCAAGGCGACCACCGATCCCTGGAAGGATCGACCGAGCCTCAAGGAGCAGCAAGTGGTGTCCAGGCTGCGCACCGGGCATAGCAGGGCCTCCCATAATTTCGGAGGAACACCGTTCCGGAGAACCTGCGAAACCTGCGGAGTGCCAGCCTCCGTAGAACACATCCTCATCAACTGTGTGGAGCTCGAGGACCTTCGGGTTGCCTTCGGTCTGGAGGGAACCAGCATACAAAGTCTGCTTCGCGACGAGTCCCCGGCAGCAGACGCCCTCATCGCCTTCAGCAGACGCCCTCATCGCGAATCTTTTTTACAACATTTGAGTGTTTTCTGTTTGTGCTTTTGAATTCGTTGGCCCTTTTGGTAGTGTTTTACAATATTTTATATAATTAAACTAAATGCCCACTTGCCAAGATTGGGATCCTCCTTTTGAGGTCCCAATTCTTTTTTGTAATTTTTAAAAGAGATGAACTAGCCTTAGGCTAAAAATCTCTCTAATAAAGAAAAAAAAAAAAAAAAAAAAAAAAAAGTCACTATTTTTACAAGTATAAGTCACTATTTGGTCACTTATTTCATCAAAATGGTCACTGAAATCACTATTTTTAACATTAGTGATTGCTACCAGCCCTGACTTATAATAGAACTCAAGATTCAGCAATGCATTTTTTCCTAGATGTTTGGAATACTGAAGCTACCGGGCTTCAAAGATTTTTCAAAATACTGGTCTTTGAAAAATGTCTAGAGCTTGAACATTTTCCTAGGCCATTTTTTGACATCTTAGGCTTGGAAAACTTTTAAAATCACGAAGTTTGAATTTTGTTTTGATACCTCAGAATATTTGTGATAAATCTATGACAATTTAGAGATCACAGGCAGGACAAATATTAAAAAAAAAAATCTGGCACGTTTTGGACATACTGGATTTAAGTCTAGATCACGGAGTAAGAGAAAACAAAAATCCAATTATTAGTGATTTTGTCAACACCAATTAGACAGTTAAGGGCCCCCTACATTTAATCCGGATCTAACGCGTTGCGGCAAAGTGACAGCTAAATCTATTGTCTAACTGTCAAATTTACTTCACCGCGTTGCAACACAAACGGATGTGGGTGGCCCTTTAACGTGCATGTTTGTTAGCAACTCTTCCCGCAACTGACTTTACATGCTGATTTTTAATTTATCTTCTTAACACAAATTTTCTACCAAATCAAGTTTTGATTTGATGTGATTTTTGTAAGACAAATTATTTACTCTCAACAATGGTGGTAAAAAGTAGCTTTAGTAACTTTTTGGGGACGAAAATGGCTTTTTAGCGACAGACCAGACCAGAAAATAGTGACTGAACCACTAAAAAGTGACCTGCTACCAGTCCTTTAATCGAACAATTTAATTCAACAACCGTGCAAACTTTCTGTGTCAAGGTTCGAGAATTTTCATTATGAATAAGCGGTACCGGTGGTGTAGTGGCAAGCGTGACTGCCTCTTATTTCAAAGGGCCTGGATTTAATCCCAGTTGGCGCTGTCGGGATTTTCTGAGGCATAAAGGGAAGTAAAGCCGTTGGTCCCCGGTCCATGAGTTGATGGGTCGATAGATGAGGTCCAGGTGTGGAAGCAGCCTCCCTGGCGTCGGTACCATTGGTACTCAATAGGGAAACAAGGTCGACAAGGTCCAATCATGGAAAAAAGATGAATTGATGGAAATTATTTTGAACTAGGTCATTTTAGTTAGGTCAGTTTTTACTTAATTTTTTTTCGATTTTCTCCCAAGCGATTCGACGATTTCAACCATATGCGGCCGGCTGAGCCACTGAAAAAAAATTCTATATTTCGACCAGTTCGTTAATTTCATTGGGTACTTATTTTTAGTGCATGAGTCTAATAATGATTTGGTCACCAATTGAATCCAGATAAATTTACATGATAAATGGTCTATCTTAACTACCATTGACAAACTATTTGTGGAAAAAATCGTAGTTAATGTACTGGCTTAGCGATAAATTTGTCCATGAACATAAACTAGATACCTTAGTCATGTGTCGTACGTTTTCGGTGTATTTCTAGATAATTTCTTTGTGTCTGTAACTTTGAAACACAGAAAATCTTGTTTTCTTCCTATCGAAGAGACTCCGGTCCACGCGAAGTAAAACTCGACCTATAAACTTTTCCGCCAGTACCCTTAAATGGCACGAACACGTAATTCCCCGCTCGATTGTCTCTAGCCGTAAACGGAGATCACCCTTTTTCTAGCACAGCGGGATTGTTTTTATAAATTCCATTCCTGGTGGTTGAAATGAATCACTCTGTTAGTCGGAGAGGATTGGATGCAATCGCCCTGTCGACGTAACAGCTTTGTTTAGTATTTATCTGAGGCCGATCTCCCTCTACTGGGACGCATGATTCTTTCGGCAAACAAGAGTCTCGGTCTTTGACGGGTGATTCAGACTTTTCGCAAAAAAAATAAAACTGAATCAGATTGGAATCAGTTTCCGAATCTTCTCTCTTTTTCTTGGAAAAATTGGATCAATCGGCGTGCGAACTGTTACTTTGATGATCGTCTACGTGCTACGTTGGAGAAGAGAGAACGGGTGAGTTGTGGAGCAACGGGGACGAGGATGTTCGTGACTCGGGAACATTCATGGAAGGTTTGGAGTTGTTCTTTGGATGGGATTTGAAATTTTTTGGAATATTCCTGTGCAACGTATTTCCCATAACAGGTCGGTGGCAGTGGCGTTTCAACGGAATTACTATTGCATGAGGGATTACTAATTACAGCGGAAGCTTTCGGTGATGAAATAGCTTCACTTCCCCTCTTTACCAACTGACGCGTTTTCTGTCTGTTGGTTTGGTTGTTGTTACTGTTGCTCTTTTCTTCACCCGATGCGGTGTCGATGTTTACGTGTGGGGTTACGTTGTGGCACACGGCGGTTGCCAGCTGAGTGATCTATTCAACCAGATCAAACTGAGGGCTAATTGTTTGAGAAAACCTCTAAGGTGTTTTTGTCGTTGGCGATGCTTGGGTTTGGTTGTGACTTCGTTGACAGATATTGACAGATTGACAGAGAAGTGAACTAATCCAATGCATTTTCCCAAAACAAAAACATACCATTGAATGGAGTTTAGTGCCGTGTCTAGCAACACTGCAAAATACAACACTGTGATTCAGCGTGCTTTTGTGTGCGTTAGATCGGCTGTCAGTTTATGGGTGTGTATCTGTATAACGTTTTAACAGCTACTCTTCTTCTCTGTACGGCAAGCGATTCCGCTGTCCCCAGCGATTTCCTATCCGCTGGCTAGACGTACCGGGTTTCACCTTCTTAGAATTAATTCAGGATCAATCTTTACCTAGCAGAAGCAGCTTCACCTCACTGGCCGCACGTTCTCCATCGGCTCGCAGGGCTCTGTCAATGTTTTTCGAACGTTCGATGGCTTCCTTATCTCTACTAACTGCACAACCCATTTTTGCTTCACTCTTCTTTCACTTGCTCGGCTTCTTTCACCTCTTCTTAGCGCTCGTGGTTTTCTTCGACACCAAACTCGCTCTTTGAATCAGCACCAGACCCAGCGCACACCACCGTAACAGACACTGGAAATTTCACTCGCTTTTCCTCGCTGGTGGTTGTTGTAGGTGCCCCAAGCAGTAGGCTTCAATGGGGACCTAACGCTTCGGGAGGTTCTCTCGCTGCACTCCACACACAGGGAACACTTGTTGAACACTATACACGCTGAAACCCCTTTCTAATGCACTGCTTTTGCACTTTGGTAAGAGATATACCACAAACTAAAAAAATAATACTAAAAAATATTGGGAACCGAACCCAATAATCCCGGAGAACAACTAATAACAGCGCGGTGAAGAAGAAGCACAGGGCACAGAACAACGACAACGACGGCGACGACGCATGGATGGACGACGGCTGAAAATATGGTTCTCTCTCGCGGGACTCGCTTTTCGCTACTGACGGACAGTTTACTCGCCTCGCCTTGCTTGGTGTGATGTGATGTGTGAGTCACGAAAGCAGTTCAGTATAACTTTTTTTTTGCTTTACTTTCGCCCGTTGCCGTTGACGTTGTGTTTGTGTATCATCCTCGTCGCCAGTGGGAACCATTTCTGGCTGCGGCCGTTTTATGGGGGGAAGTTTAGCTGGAAGCACTGCTGGAGGGATGATTTCCAGTGCGAAATGTACTGTGGGCGGGTATTTGAAATGGCAGTTATATGGTTTATTTTTGTGCAGTTGTCAAAAGTGTTAAATCGTAGAAACCGGGATGGACCAGGATTTGATTTTCATCAGTAACAATCGGTAAAATGTTGGAAATTTTTAAATTTATTTTATTTTGGATGATTACATATTACAAATACATTGTGGGTAGTTATTTTTTAAAACATAAAATTTTTGGCGTTTTACGGTAGAGTAGCTTCTCATTTGTGGGAACCCTTCGCTGATCCAATGGCATGAAGATGGATAATTATGGTGTTTTGTATCATTCTTCCAGTTCTAGTGATCAGCGTTTTGTTGAAGTTTTAGAGAACTAGCGTGATAACGATAATTCGAATCGTTTGAAGCGTTTAGCTGAGTTTTTCAATTTAAAGCAAACGGTAAATGATTATTCGCGTATTTCCAGGCACAATAATTGACCACGTTTATTCAAATTTTGATTCCATTTGTACAGTTGCGGATACTGATTTTAAAATAACCGATCATGAGACATTAATGATTAATGTCTTAGACCATTTTGACGCTAACGACGATTTGTAAAGTTTCGAATCTTGTTGAGAGGAGCGTGGATTTTCCATTCGCGGCCGGTAACTTAGATGAATCTACAGCTGTTCTTAATAACGCTTTGAAAACGTGTACCAATCAACTAATTGAGCAAAAGTTTGTTTCTTTGAAAATTTCGAACAGCTGGTAGAATCTGGATCTTTTGCGTCTTAAACGGAAAAGGGACAATTGGTACAAAAAGTTTTGTAGATCAAATAATGACAAGCATTGGAGTAGGTACACAATCGCGCGTAATAAGTATTCACAATCGATAAAGAATACTCTTTGTGAATATGTTCAAAGGAAGATTGATCAGCATCAAAACAACAGCAAAGGGTTTTGAAAATTTTTGAAATCGTTATTAAAACCTAGTAATTGCAAACCGCGGTCCATAGCTTTCAGTCAGACCAAGTAATTGCATCTAAGTTTAATGATTATTTGCTAGACAGTGTTTCATTGATCAATCAATCCATTGAATTGGTCGATGAACCTGACGAAATAAAACAGCCAGTTAATAATAGTTGTACATTCGAAGGTTTTCACCCAATAACAGTTATTTGTTTTTCATTAGGAAAATCGGCTGGAGTAGCTAATGTTAATTCTAGAGTTATTCAAGATTGCTTTCATGTCATTGGCCACATCTTGCTGGACCTTATTATTGAATCATTGCAAACTGGACATGTGCCACAAATTTGGAAGGAACCCTTAGTGGTATCTATTCAAAAAGTTGCTGGAACGATTAACGTTTGCATTAAAAAAATGGACTTTTTTCGGATGGTGATAAAAAAACTAAGACAGATAATTTCTTTTGATAAATTTCCCATGGAAGGTAATTTTTTAAGCTTACCTGCAAAAAAGTTCTACGCCCTTGCGAGTGGCCTTCCGACTGTTAACCGGAAAAATCGGCATGGCGGACGAAAACATGCGTGTAGGCATGTTTTTGAGTTCTTTCTTCGTTTTATTTATCAATTCTTCCTCAGTTTTCGCGACAAAATTGTTGGAGTAGATCTTCCCAACAAACAATTTTAGCTGCAGATTAGCTTATGCAGCCAAAACTTGCCTTATGCAGCTAATTTTTGCCTGTATAAGCTAAGCTGCAGCTAAAATTGTTTGTTGGGTTACGCTTCATGTTGGCCCAGAAATTCTCGATGGGACGCAGCTGGGAAACGTTGGGCGGGTTCGCCGACTTGGGTACCACATCGATATTCAGCCGGTCCATCTCCCCCAACGATCGCTTCGAGTAGTGAGCCGACGCCCAGATCCGGCCAGAACACCGCGTCTTCGCCCTTATGGTATTTTTTGATGAACGACGCAACTTCCGGCAGGCATTTCGCACTGTAAATTTCCCCGTTCACGGCCAGTCCGGAGCGAAAGAAAAGCGGCTTTGACATCCCCTTCTCGCTGATTGTCAGCTACAGCAGCACCTTCTTGGGGAACTTGGTATGTGAAATGAACTTCACCTCGTGGGGGAAATAAAATACGAAGTGCCCTGCCAGTCGTTGTCATCCAGGGTGAGATAGGTCTCGTCGTCCATCACCACCGTCACGTCGCGATTCGCCGGGAAAAACGAGTTGACCATCATATTCAGCCGCTGCCGCTGCGTCATTGCCTGCAGCTCCGAAACCAGTGGACGTGACTTTCGCTTCCTGACATGTATGTTCATGTTCGCCAGGTACTTTTTCGCTGTTTGGCCGGTTGCACTGACCTCCCGGCCAAGCGCACGCAGCGATGTAGCCACTTATCCCTCGGTCTTCCTCTTCAACATCCTTTGGAGCTTCTTGTCGCTCAGGGTCGTCGGCCGTCCGGAACCGGGCTTTCTTTCGATGCTCTGATTGTTTTCTAATAGTGCCAAGATGTTGTAGATGCCAGAACGGACGTATCCGGCGTCCACAAAGTGCCGCACGATGTACGTTTTCGACGCGGCGGGGTGCCGTTCTTTGAACGCGCACACTTCTGAACGGAGGTGCTTCACTGTTTTTGCCATCACGGCTATAGTTCGACTGATAGAGCTGTCAAATTTTGTCTGCTGACTCATAAGTTACTATGATTGATGCTGCATGGGTAGTTTCGTCAGTACGGGTGAAGGTAAACCCATAAAAAATCGACAATTTTTGTTCATTTCTTTTAGGGTTCGTTTGCATATTACGTAACGCGCTAAGGGGGGAGGGGGTTTCGCATTGTGTTATGTTCTGTTACGTTATAAGAGGGGGGTGGTGGTATTTTAGAATCTGGTTACGTAACGCGAAGTCCCTTTTCAAAAAAAAAAAAAATTAGTTCAGATTGACACATTGTTTGGTAGATTTTTTTCTGAGTGTATTTTACCTTTTTCGTGTTAACAATGTATGACCGTGTTGCTTCAATTTTGACGTTTCGAGTACTCCGGTCGCGCATTGTGTTGCTCAAGAATTCAAATTCAAACCGTGTTTTTCGTGCTTAGTGAGGCTAATATGGACAAAAACTTGTCATTCAAACGTCTTTTTGATCGCTATTGCAAAGCATATCCGCACAAAAACAAGCAGGAAATCCAGAAATGCTGCACAGAGTTTTGGAACAATTCGAAGCATCTACAAGACTTCCCCAAACGATTGGAAGATAAGGAGAAGGATCTGATTCGTTTGGCTACGGAGAAAAAGAATCGCTATCTGCAATTCTTCTAAAAAGCTGCAGAAAAAAGATCATCCCAAAAATGCGTGGAAACAACTACACCCCCAGCACTCGAAGACCCGACGCCAGAAAAAGTTACGGAGCCACTTCCTGCGCAGCCAGGCCTGAGCCGCACGTACAAGTGTCATACACAGGAAGAGCTAAATTCAAAATTGAATGTGCTCAACGCTGAAACTCGTTTGCAAAATAATGTCATTACTTTGCAACAAGAGAAGGATTTGCACCAGTTTCGGCAGCAGAAAACGGACCTGGAGAAAGAGCTCAAAAAACTGATCGACAATCAGCAACGTCAGCAAAATTTTCGGAGTGAGAAAAAGCGCAAGACCGAGGAAATTCTAGAAAACGAACCAGCTAAAGCCGCAAAAATGAACATCCATCGAGCACCGGGAAGACCTCGCCGGGACGATGAAGATGAAATACTAAAGGTTATTTTGGAAATCGCACAGTATGGAGCTTCTGCCCATGAACGGCGCCGTTTCGAACAGCTGCGAACTGTTAAAACTCTCGATGATCTTGTCGAGAAAGTGAAGTAAATACTATTCTATGTTGATGTGATCATGAAGTAACATTTTATCTATATTGTTTCAGAGATTACGGGCACAACCTTTCTCGAACTTACCTTTATTATCATTTGAGATCTCGAAGAGATGGTTCGCACGAAGCCAAGAAACACATCAGCACCGTCCCGGTGCGGTTTTTTTCGTGCCACCAACGACCACTATATATTTCATGAGGATACTTGGTTTTGCACTTCAACAATTCGGAATTTGGATGAGTTGGCCAGCTTTCTCGGCCCTACAGATGTTGCTAGACTAAGCCAAGATGACAAAGGTCGTGTGCCCTTGGGTGTGACGGCGGCAAAAAACCAAGCACCAATGCTAATGCAGCTTGATTACCGTGTTCGATTGCCAGATCACGAGTGGGTGGCAGCGAACAAACATAAATTGATACCATCCGTCATTGCAGGTAATTGAAATTTTGAAATGGACACTGAACGCTAATTTTTGAGTGTTGTATCTATTCAATTTATTAGGCGTGACAATATAGCCATATGGATTTGGAGAACCTGGCTTCGTGGAATCGTCTGGACCGACATACGTTGCTGTGCGTTCAGCGAAACATTCTTCGTCAACCGCACACGCTCTCGATTTTAATCGTCTCACGGAACTGCCTGGTTTTGCTTCAGTTCTGAAAACATCGTCTGGAGACATCAAACCAATTGTGATTGTAACAGTCGTTACACCAAAACAATAGAGGTCGCTATTCATCATTTTAAGTTCTACAAACTTGATGCTTTTTTCATGGCAACAAATGCTGCAGGAAGATCCGCCTTTAATGTTGTTGAGAGAAGAATGGCACCCTTATCACGCTCACTTTGCGGTGTAATTCTTCCTCACGACAAGTGGGGTAACCACCTTGACGGTCGGGGAAATACGGTTGATGTGGAGTTGGAAAAACGGAACTTCAAGAACGCAGGTGAGGCTTTAGCAGAAATATGGTCTGAGCACGATATCGACGGACACCCAGTTTTCGCCGAATACATTGAGCCTG